ATCAAGCAGAAGACGGCATACGACCGACGCATTTCAATCTCTTTCTCGACACCGTGCTCACGTTCACCATGTACCCGAGCCTCACGCTCACGCATTTAGCGAACGCGATTTGGGTGATGCTGTTCAAGCACGAACAGATCAAGCTGGACTCACTGCTGCTCACGTACGTGCCCAAATACGTGGAGCATACCGCGCCCAAGTTGATCCGCGTTACGTATCCACACGACAGACAGAGCAACGGCATGACCACGTACTGCCTCGTCGATTACGACTCGGAGGAGGAGTTCAACGTCTTTCTGCATCGCTTCAGGATGGATCTGTTGGAGGGATTCAGACACGCCACCATGGTGGCGCCTCTGGTGACGTTCACGTACGTGCAGCAGTGGCTGACCGCGAAGATCACCAAGGGTATGGCGAATCTGCAGTACAAGAGTGATCAGAACGACCGGGAGTACCTCGAGTGGGAGGCCCTCGCGCAGGCGTTGGACTCCGTCGTGTCCAGGATTTTGCTGATCAACGAACGGCCGAGCGTGCAGACCGGTCTACAGCTGTTGGAGCTCTGCCTGAGTTACTCGCCGCAGGATCCCTGGCTCCTGTCCGCGCTGCTCTCCTGCATAAGCGCGCTCTTCGTGTTTCTGTCGATGTCGACCGGCTCGATGGCCATGCCGGGCGTCGCCATCCTGCCGCGCGTCCTCGACAAGATCTTCGCCGCGTTGGTGTTCGAGGCGCCCGGCGAGAACGAGCGCAATCGCTCGCGGGCGACCAAAAACGTGCGACGACACGCGGCCAGTCTGATGGTGAAGATCAGCCTCAAGTATCCGCTGTTGTTGCTGCCGGTGTTCGAGCAGATACACACGATGGTGCGCAGTCTGACTCGGGAGCCGAGCCCGTTGTCTCGAATGGAGAGCGTCATGCTGTACGAGGCGCTGCTCCTTATCTCGAATCACTTCTGCGACTACGAGCGGCAGACGCGATTCGTCACGGAGGTGATCGGCGACGCGTCCAGCAAGTTCATCGCGATGGGCACGGAGTGGTTCGAGGGACCGCTGGAACTCATGCAATTTGTGGGGCTCGACAGACCGCCGGTGGAGGACATGCTGGAGGATCCGGTCAGGCGTAATCGCAGCGATCTCATGATGTGTATTTGCACGGTGCTGAGTGTAGTCAAACGATGCTCAATCCCAGAGGATCCCGACCGCGCGGCCAGGGGTGGCTTCGTGGCCGCGCTCAGCGAGAGCGGTAATCCGGTGTACCGAAACCCGGCGACACCCCATGTAATCCCCATTCTGCCGACGCTTTTCGCGCTACTGCGAACGATGAACGGTCTCTTCAGTCACGCTGCCCTCGCTGCTCTTTCTGAGGTAACATTTGACGTAGTTACTAATGGATTGAAATGTGGAGATTTTCGAGTGATGCAAAAAGATTTGGTACGA